GAGTTGATGGAACGTACAAAACCTTACCCCTTCCAAGGGTTTGTTTAACCTTTTCTTCTTCTTCTTCTTCTTCTTCTTCTTGTTATCAGCTCTTCCAGATGGTCCCGCTTCGGCAGGGGCATTCTCATATGCCAACACCAGTACTGCATTCAATGTGGCGGAAGCCAGGACTTGTCCAGACGTGGGAGCTATTGTATGACTTGCTTGGGTCCATTGCTGAGTAACAAGGTATGCTGCGAGTCCTCGACCTACCTGCCTTTGAGGCGGAGGGAGTCCCTGCGCGGCACGGTTGCGATGATCAATCATTTCTTCACTCACAATTTTCACTCTCATCATTTCCACCAGTTCGTCATATGTGGAGGGATTCTTGCTGCGCACGTCCCTCCAGAACAAAGTATTCATGTTGAGCCCATCTTTCAGGACAGAAAGGGCTTCTCTGTCAGTGACCTATTCGCAGTAGGTGATTTCGTCTGTAAACCTGGCGAGATAGCTTTTCAGCGTCTCCCCAGAGGCCTGCCTCATATCTTGCAGGCGTTGCACTGGTGCCTCTCCTTCCCTACGTGAGAGGTACTGGTTCAAAAATGCTTTCTTCAAATTTGGCCAACTTCTGATGCTTAGAGGAGGAAGCTTGCTGTACCACACTTCGGCGGCTCAGCCTAGTGTTAAATGGAAGGCTCTGCATTTCAAAGCGGGCGAGGCTCCCCTTAGGCTCATCCGTGTCATGTGCTTGGTGAGGTGCTTCTCCGGGTCCCCCTTTCCTTCATACTTGGGGATCTTAAGGGGCATGAAATTTACTGGCATTGGAAAGCTTCGGATCTCCCTTGAGAAATTGAGGTTATCATCAGCGTCGTCAATCTCATAGGATCAACAGGGTCCATCTCACCCTGTCTCATCTTGAATGCCATGTGGAGGTGGAAGTGCTTCTCATCGACTTCCTCAATCGACTAGGTTCCTCCTGTCCCTCCTATTTATAGGAGGAGAAAGAGCCTGCTCTTGTTCCTGATCTGGACGAACTGATCTTCTTATCGGACGGACCCTATAGCTAGGATCATCCCCTATCCGGTCGAAGATGCTTGCCGACCTTTGTTCCCCGTATTTTTGAGGAAAATTGTCCCCCAAGTGTGGTTCTGATGGCTGGCTTCCTTGCACATAAGATGTGCCTTCGGCGTTCATCTCTCTTTCGAGAGGGCGTTCTATGTGCCTGTACCGGATAAGATCCTTGGGGCATTTGATAGCCCTGATGACCCTGGGCTTGCATGAGGAGTTCATATATTGCCATATTCTGAGCTGCAATGTCTCTCTTACCCGCAGCTATTTGAGTCATTCTTTCAGTGAGCATGGCTATTCTTCCACCTCGGCGAGGCCGGTGATGTGGTCTCTGATGAGTAACATTGTTATGGGATACCTCTTCTTCAGAGGCCTCTCTCATAGGGTTGTCATCTTCATGGCTATAGCTCATCCTATCTCCTTTTTCAAGGGTGCTGAGAATTTGGATTGTAACTTGACTTTATTCTTTTTTAAGAACGTGCCCTTTTCAAGGTTAGTCGCTAGTCCGATGGAGAATGCAGAACTTTGAACGGGAAGTGTTTCCCACAGACGGCGTAAATCTGTTAACCTCGAAAATTGGACCTTCCACGTGGCCAACCGATAGCTACTCCACGTATGCCTCCCTGCGCACAATCAATGCACGGTCAGACGCACACGGTCAGGACCAGCGGGGGTGGTGGCCGTATACACTCCGACGGTCAAGTCAAGTTTAGGTGGTCGGAACAGTACCCAGGGGTTGTACAAAATAATAATAATGGGGAGGAGAAAATATATAAACTTGCTATGGAGTGCTATGTAGTAAGAGTTTCATTATCTTTGCCTCTTGTCAAACCTTGGGTATTTATAGGTGGGATGAACCGTTGAATCTGGGACACGTGTATACATCTGACTATGAGGCATCCGCTCATAGGCGTCAATCAGCCACGTCTGTAGAGTGGGCGGACAGCTTGTTTCTCCTGAGTTGAATTGAGATAAAGTTGATAAGTCACATCAACTAGCCTCATGAAGACGTCAAATCAACTTAAACCTTAGGTGCAGAGAGGATCTTGGCACAAATCTCTTTCTGAAATTGGCGGCAGATCTTTTGACAGGGGTCCACTTGGCCTCGGCCTCGGAGGCGAAGAGCTTCAGTCAGTTCAACAGGATCACCTATACCTCGCAGTGTGCTACTAGGTTGTTGACATTGGTGATATCACTTCGGACGGGTGTCTATCAGGTCGGAATGTGTGGTGGTGGGCGTTCTGAGACGGTTCAGATAGGGGCGTAACAGCTTGCGAAAGGTGAGTATCGATCAGATTCCCCATTTCCTCAGGGCCATACCCTTTGCAAACTTCTCCCAAGGCGAGAATCATTGATAGGGTATTGGGATCCAACTTCTCATTAAGATAGGAAGAAAATAAAGCCTTGATTTTTGCAAGATGTTTAGATGCCTCTGCATATTTGTTTTCCTCTTTGCGGGGTTCCTTGCCAAATTTGGCATAGATTGATACCCAGATACTGTGGGCAAGGACCCTGATACCGGCAAACCTCTAGCTTTTTGAGGCAGCTAAGGACGCTTACTCATACCTTTGCCTTCATGTAAAGATTCATTCTTGTCTCTCTTAGAACCCCCCATGAACACATTCTTAAAAGGAGAGGAGAGAGCCAATTTCTGACGTTTGCGAGAAGCACTAAAGTTGATCTTCTTAGTATAGTGTACAATGATACTATCTGCACATGCAGAAGGAACTGTGGAAATGAACATCTAAAAAGAAAAATATTCCAATTAAAATAGAGTTTATGCTTTCTATGGGCTTCGTAACATCAAGATCCGTGGGCATTATCAGAAGTAGAACCATCAGTTACCATAAATAAAGAAAATGCTCCTTTTCCATATGCGATATTATTAGAGATAAACAAAGAAAAGTGGACTAAAGATCCCATACTCGACAAAAATTCATAGAAGGCTACATAGTCGTAAGAGGAAGGGTTTCAGACAAGTTGAGATACAATAAGATTACAATCTCATCCATTCGAACAAAATTAATGAAGAAAATTTCATAATTAAGAGATTAAGTATAACCTCTTTCAAAACTAAAAAACAAGGTCTATTATTTCAAAATCAGATATTGATTAAATTTTATTTATGAAATAATTAATTAAATAAAATTTTATTAATTAATATTATTAAGGTCATAATATTATATAAATTATAGTCACAATTATGTATTAGTCACAATTACAGTCGTCACAGTCGCAAATTACAACTTATTTTTCGATCACAAATTTATCAAATTAATAGTTCACATATTATTCATTGGTCACAAATCACAAATTTTATAAATCACAACTTATTTTATGGTTACATATTATTTCTAGGTCACAAATTATCAAATTATTAATCGCAACTTAACAAATTTCTAGGCCACGCATTATTTATTAGTTACAAATGATCTATTTTATTAATCACATATTATTTATTAGTTACACATTAACTAATTTATTTGTCACAATCAAACAAATAATTTATGACTACCACCAACTCACCACTGCCTCTAACAACACTATTGCCAACACCACTGTCACCAGAACCACGAGCAGCAGCACCATCACCATCACCATCACCATCACCATCACTATCACCATCTCAATCATCTCAAACAAACCAAACTGTTACGAACAAAAACCACCATCTTCACGATCGTCACGACGATAATGAAGACAACAACCATTGCAAAACAAATAAAAAATGGAAGCAACAACCACAGCCACGACATATCACCACCACCTCACTACCACAACCAACATCACAACCACCAGGACCAACAAATCAAATCCAAAATCACATGCACTCCACAATCGCCATCACCATAACCACCTCACCATTACCACAACACCAGCATAAAAATCAGAACACCGATCGATGAGGATGAAAGCTAACAAATCAGATCCAAAACCACCAGCACCACAATGCAAATTAGATCCAAACTGCTAGCACTAGAGTGTTTCTCGATGAGGATGAAAGCCGCAAAGGAGGAAAACATCGTCGAGCGCGTCAATTTTGAATGTTTTCGAGCACCGTCAAGGTAAACGCTATGCAGAGGGGAACCATCGTCAAGCGACAGCGTGATGGCATGAAGAGAGATGTCGCTGCGGATTTGACGGCATTGCCGCTCACGACTCGAGCAGCTTGGTGGGATGAAGAGAGACTTTGCTGCTGATTCGGTGGGACTCATAGCGCACAGCAACAGTGGCATCTCCGTTCACGACTCATAGTAGTTGCGATATTGTCGCTTGTATCGTCGCTGCGATGATCCTACTACATTTTTGATTGGTTGAGAGAGAGAGAGAGAAGTCGGGGATAGAGAAAGAAGAAAATACGAAAATGATCAGGATTTTGGGTGCGTAGTTGGATTGCATAAGTAAATATGTGTATTAATTTTTAATTTTATAATATAATTATTAATATTAAATATTTAAATTATTATCTAATTTTTTAATTAAAAAATATAAATCTTATTTTTGAATTGTGAAGTTAAAATATTTGGATGGATATAATTTCCACAAATTAATGAGACCTCAGAAATGTTCATTTATTAAAATTTATGATCTCTTGAACATGCCTGCAAGATTAGCTCTTCAATTCGCATGGTTCGGTATGTACTTCACCCCTAAGTTGGGAACTAACATGCAAATAATATTATCCCCGTGTAAACCTAAAGTTCCCAGGGAAGAACATCAAACAGTAAACACATCAAACATGGGCCAAGTTGAAGCACCAAGCATGCAGCCCGTTGGCATACTATTCATTGTTCATTGCATTAGAAGCCATATTTAGGTGCATAGAGTTTGCTTAGCGTCCTCGTGTGATCAAGGTCAATCCAACTACCATAGATTACCAAAGGAGATACATGGTATTTCATTATTATTTTCATTTCCCAATCTGTGAGCCAAAATAAAAAAAGACATTCAAATATGAAAAAATTGTTCTATTCAAAAAAAGCTTTCAACATCCATCCATTCACGGAGTGCGCTATTAACAAGGACCCAATAGTATTACAAACAAGAATTTAACTTCTTTCTCCTTCTACTGGACTGTGGAATGGTATAAAGTTCTCTCTGCGAAACAAGACATTAAGTTCCAACAGGTCAAATTAAAGTTATAATATAAAACTATAATATGCTCAACGTAAGCCAGATTTCTACATAATGATAATAGTGAACGTGATGCTGCAAAAATCCATAAAATAATGACTAGATTCAATGCTTTCAACCATTGTGTTCACTGGGGTTTGGCTTAATCCCACTGCAACAGAAGAAGTGTGGCAACTTAACTTGACCGCAGACCCTGCCAAAATACAGTGTTTGAAAGATATATGAGCTATTATTAATGATAAGGGAGTAAGAGCATGTTAAGCTTTAATTCTTAAAAAGCAACAAATACTATATAACATATTACAAGCCTCTAAAGACTGATTCTTTCCATCAATTCGTCCAAGAGAATGTGTGCTAATCAATATAACTCCTTTGCATTCAATACAAACAAGTGTAATTTGCTAGGCAAGCCAAATAGAAAATCTCAATGTTATCATCACAAATGGTTTCCCTTTGTACGTTTTATAAAGTGGCTGCAATAATTTACCAAACAAATTTAAAATTTAAAACTATCATATTGAAAATTGCACACTGCATAACCATGACGAGACAAAATTATCAAATTAACACTTAAGAACACCTTCCATAGACTTTGGACATAGGGCAGCTATTTCTTGTTAAGGATATGGTTCAGAAAATAAAATATAAAAAGGGTTTTCTTCCAATAGTTTCCGAAATAAAAAGTTTTTATTGGACTGAAATTAAATTATATTAAAATATGAATAAAAAATTAAATAAATAAATAAATAAAAGAGGTTTGCAAATTAACATAATGGAGGAATTGCTAGAGAAACCCTTACTTGCAACGGATGATCACTGGGACAGGTTTCAAAGCCTTTGGTCCATTCCTAATGCCTCTCTTGTGTGGAGAGACCTGCACGAAGCATTTGGCAATGAGTACTCAAAGTGAAGGAATGCACTAACATGTCATCAAATAATTAACTGGCTTTAAACTTTTGGCCCTAACATTGATGATCTTTTTCAAATATGTAGGTTAAGAAATAAAAGAACAGAGTAAAAATCCCTATTGACACGAGATTGATAATAGAGAAGCGCCAAAGAAACATGCATGCAGTAATGATTGCAAGTGCCTAACCATATAAACTGCAAAACTATACAGAAAATGAATTAACACACATATACATCTGACCAATGATGATATCCCCCTACGCATTTATTTGCCTCATACTCAATCTTATTGATACCCAAAAGGATTATTTCCTGAACAAGACGATGGAAATGTACGAGAAAAAACAGAACTTTGCTGTGTGCTTCCTTGCCCAACTTTGTCCCTTTTTACAGGACCTTTTCCGGGTTTTCTATGATTCCCCTTTCCCATGCCAAAAGGTGAAAGTAGAGCCTGACATGTGGATATGGTAATATAGACTCACTGAACAAAGTTCAGCCTAAAGATGATGCATGCCCTTACACATTTATTTCTAGAATAAGAGAACTGTTGTTGGTGAGGATATTTTTGAACGAATTCTTTTGGGTATCACAATACTTTTCGACCCACCCCACCTCTCTGAGGAGTCAAATTGCCAACAATCTAATGGGTTTTCTGAACTACAAGGCTCTCCAATGCACCGAACACAAACTATCCACATAAAAAGTTCCTATACCACCTCTATATACAGATTTTAATTGAAACCATTGGGTAGTGGACACGGTATTCCTCAGGCACACGAAAAACCAAAACATCAGTACAATGAGCGATTAACAACAGTCGTATTCTTCGAGATAATAAATTATTCGAACACCTCATAGCGTAACTAAAAAGAATTACTGAATTTGCAACGAGCAAAGTGCAATATAAACGTTTCCTTCAAAATTTCTGCACAATCCCACATTTCCAAATACAGCACTAAACATAATAAAAATCCAAATTGAAGAAAATGCAAATCAACACAACGGGCAATCTCAAAAATGCCTTTAATAAATAAAAGGTGCTAAACCCTAGACCCTTTGCGAAAAATTGAATCTTTGGAAGAAACTAAGAAATTACCTTTCTTTTGGGGACAGCCATAAGCTCCATTGGGCCACCGAAAATTGAACAATTCGGAAATGCATCTCCGATGCCGTTGTTGTTTTGATGTTCTCGCAAAAACAACGTCGGTGATGCGTCGATCGAGTGGGCAACAGTGGTATCAAGCGGCGGTGGCTGGGCTATTGTATGGGTCCACCGGCAGAGACTTACTAAAGTACACCCCTTGGTCGAGAAGGCGCATTTTAGCGTCGGTACCCTTAACGCCATTTATTAATTTCCGCTATACAACGGTTAGCTCTGTACTGTGTGTAGTGTGTGAGAAATTTCAGCCGGGAGTACTGGAAAAGAGAGAATCAATGGGCCATTTTCATTGGGCTCTCCCCGGCCTTGGGTTAATGGATTGGGATAGGGGTTTTGCTACAGTAGCTAATAATTAATAGGAAAAATTACATAAAACCAAGTACTTAAACTTTTAAATTAATAATTCAGGGATGAAGAAACTTTATGCAAAAATCAGGTACCCATTACAAAACCTAAATTCCCCATCCTTGTCTCTAATGTCTTCTCTTGGTTCTCTCCTTTCTCAGCAGCCGAAACCTCTCTCCTCTCTCAACAGTAGTGGCGCCGCCGTGGAAGAGAATTTCTGGTGTGACGGTGTTATCGTCAGACTTGAACCACACCTCTCTATTTTGACCAGTCGGGGCGATTTTTTATATTTTGATCCATCTTCCTACCCATCCCTTTCTATTTCAACCGATCGATTGGCACCATGCAATGGCATCGTGTGACGTAATACATCTTGTAGCGACATACGATAAGGCGACGGGTAGGGGTGTGAGAGTCACTTCACTGATCATGACGGCGATGACGACAATGAAGGTAAGGGGGTTTGCGATCTGTTGTCGTGACCTTTGATCTGTTCTAGAACCATAGCCATTTGTGATCTGCAGCCACGATCGATGTGGTTGGGTTGTGATCTGTCAAAGAGATGGTTTATTGTCTTGTGTGTTGGTTATGGTCCTAGTGGCTATGATTGTTTCCGGCTATAGTCATGTTGGTGGTGGAGACGTTGGTTATATGTTGTTGTTGTGTTTGGTGGTGGCTTCTGGTGGTGGTGGAGGTGTTCTTATGGTTTCTGGCGGCGGTAAAGATGTTCGTGTTGGCAGTTGTGATGTGGGTGGTGTTGGTGAGGTATGAGTTGGATATTGTTGGTGTGTTTGGTGGTGGTAATCGTGGTGGTTCCTATTGACGGAGGTGGTTGGTGGTGGCTACGATTGTCCTAATTTTTGTTGGCTTTTGATTTGATCTCGTGGTGACGACAACGACGATAACGAGTGAGGGTGGCGATTTTGTTGGTGATGGTGTTGGTGTTGGTGTTGTTTTGGTGGTGGTGCAGGGTGAGGGTGGATCGAGATCTAGTGTTGGATGTTTGTGACCAATTATTTGGTCCTCTCTGTGACTGTGACCGTTAACTATGATCTTAAAATTCGATCATTTATGACTTAAAAGTAATCCGTGACCATCAAATTTGAAAATATCTAATATGTGACCTATAATTTTTTGAATTTGTGACCAATGACATAAATTGTGACCTACAAAATTTTTATTTTTGACCTTGAACAAATCTATGACCAATTAATTTTGTGATATGCGACTAGTAAATAAATCGGTGACCTATAATTGTGAATATGTGACCATTAATCATATAACTGTCACTTTATTATCATCATTTAATAAATATTTTCAATTAATTAGTTAAATCATATTTTTGCACTAATAAAACTTGTAACCTGAATTTTGAATTATGCGTACTTAAAGTCTGATTTGTGAACTCTTACCTAATTAATATCTCGTTTGATTCTCATTTTTGTCAAAATACATTTTTTTCTCTTTTTTTTCAACCACATATTTTTTATTAAAATGATATTACACGTAATCAACAATTTTTCCTTATTTTTCATCCACACATCCTCCATCAATCTACAATTCTAAAATTCATTTTTCATAAAAATGGGTATCAAACACCCTAAATGTAACTTGGATATTATGTACATTAGGGTGTAAATTTTAATGTACATGTAGAATAATACTTGGAATAATTACACCTTAGATATTTAAGTTACTTTACATTGTTTTTATTTATTGTAGATTTTTAGACAATATGTTGATAAAAGTTGGTAAATTATATATAGACTAAATCAGTTTTTTAGCAAATGTAACTTCATCAAACAAGAACTTAATTTAAATTAGTAGCCAATAAAAAAAAATCTAATTTTAAAATTCAAACCTAGAAGATACACATGTCAACCAATTTAAATTAAAACTAAATTTGCACAATTGGAATAATTAAAATATGAATTTTTCCATTTGTATAGAAACAATGTTCATAAAAGCCTGCCTGAAAACTCAATGATGTGGGGCCCACCTAAATAAAAAATGGCCAAAAAGTAACCCACCCATCTTTTGTGAGGCGTCGACAAAGGTTCTCACAGAACCCCTACCTGTACACCTAGCATTGCTCAAGTGTACTAGGGTACCTAAAAGGCTATATAAAGGAGCTCGGATTGAGTTTAACCAGGACACGAAGATAAAGAAAATATAATGCTAGTACAAGTGGAAATTACAACCATCACTACAATTTAAATTAATATTCAAATTTTACATTTTAACTTTTTAATTCCAAAATTACTACAGTATCTATTGTAAAACGATAACCAATAAATATATTTACTCCCATCATGATGTGGTACGAAAGGAATCAGACATTATGCCAAAGTGAGACTGGCACAAGCATAAATAGGCAATTTGTCGATTTTTTGAGAAATTTTGGGGTTGTCCATTTTTGGCGAACTTTTAGTCAAATTTAATTGGAAATAGACTAATAAACAAGATTTTGTGGCATTGCCCCTGATGCAAGGCTAATCTCGGCCAAATTTCTTCTTTTAGACATTCATTTATGAGTTTTCTCCTTTTTTGATAATTTTTGTTTTGGTTATATCTCAATCAATAAATTCGAATTGGAATTTTGTTTATTATTGAAAAAATCTTTTTTGATTATTATTTAATTTTTTTTTTTTACGAATTTCTCTAGGTTTTTCAAGATATAAAGCATTGTAAGCCATTTGAGGTAGCAATGATTGACATGAGTAAAATTTTCATGAGTTTTTAATCTTTGTGAGATTTGTTCATATTTCCTATAAGCTTCCACTACGTCATATCACTAATAAGAGAAAGTTACAATCACTTCACCAAACATAACATATCAACACTACACATATGCCACGCAACCCTGACCCCACCCCAAATTCCCCAACATTCATTTTTTCCATTGTCGAGATATCAAGAAAAAAAATCAAGAATTGATTCCAAGAAATCTTCATACAGATATGAAGACTTCCCGAAAAACCAATGAGGCTAAGAGGAATCTTGAATCTAATTCTAAGAAGTTAGTTCAGAAACATCAATCACAGGTAATAGACATGTATTGAAGTTAGTTTTTCAACAAAATAAAATAATTGTTTATCCTGTTGAATAAGTTTTTTTAATTTTTGTTTTATTTCATGTGATTCTGTTTGTTTTCGACAATACATATCACTCTTTTATTTTTTCATGAACAATATATCACACAACATGGTAAATATGAGAGCTAGTGTGCACAGTACCTGAATACGAGTGACAAGTGGCCAAGTTCTCACTTAGCCAAACAACTAGAGTTCTTTAGGAAACCTTACAAAAGGTTGTAGGCCTGACTTTAGCTTTTGCATTTGTATGCACATTATGACTATGGATTTAAGATGATAGAGCAACGCAGCTCAACGTTATTGTATTGCTTTGTTTATTTTCCTTTCGCTACATGTAACGTGTAGTGTAATATAAAATCTTCAGGTCTAATCCTTATTGCATCAAAAAAAAGTCAAACTTTACCTAGTCGTACAAATTCATTTAGTTAAGTTAGATTTCATAGGCATGCGATTCCCAGCTGTAACTTTTTATGTATGTATATTTATCATAGAACTGTGAAGTACATTAGAAGAGGAATGACACCGCTAACCATTTAACTTTCCAAGAATGTACAATCATATGTAGTATTGTTTCCTTTAATAACTAAAACCCCATCCACATTATGTCATCGGATACCACAATACAATATGTCATCGTTAAGTTGCATGTCATCACATAATATTCTTTCATTTCTCTATTCCAACATACATATGTATTGAATGAAATCGCAAGAATATGAAATTTCCTTTTCTATTGTGTTATATAGTTATCTGACGCTATTGATTAAATTTATCAACAAGAATTGAAATTTTACAACATCCATGCTAACAGATTTTGGGGGAAGCATCAAAACATATGATACAAATTTGACCTCATAGCCACTCTTAATCGCAAAGTTAATGTGCAGCGGGAGTTGTTTAGGCGATTATGCTTCAAACACTTCCTGGACATGAGGGATATTTGCTTATAACATCAGCTCATCCACATAATGCTGATATTGGAGGTTAGACAATCAGCAAATGAGGAAATGTGGTTCAATATTTTCAAGTAGATTTATAAGGTTTTGGGTTGAGAAATTTTGCTTGGTTTAAAAATGTATGGAAACAGCACAAACAAATGGAAGATGGGAAACTGTAGACAAAAAGATAAGTTTTTCAGCAAGTCAAGAACGTAGTCAGGAAAGATTTGAATGAGTTTTCTTGAGACTGTCACAAGACACGGTAGATGAAGACGTGGTGAAGATGGGAATCCATTATTTAATTACGTCTTTATTGTACATAACTAGCCAACCAAAGTTGGTAACTAAAGAAATTCTGACCAGTCCTTGTTGAAGATGAAGTAGTGATGAAGTGTATAAGGTATTAGAGTTTATGATGAAATGAGATCGTCGCAAGGCAAAATAATGGTTTTTGATTTCATGATAACTTTGGGTTTGTTCGTTTTTTACGAATTGCTAGTCTAATTCGATTGGAATCGAGCCAATGAATAAAACACAAGGCAATTTTGGGCAAAATCCATCGTTTAAGCCCTCGTTTAGGCATTTTTGCTATTTATGGTAATTTTTGTTTTTGCAATATCTCTTTCCATAAAATTCGGATTTGTATTCCGTTTGTTTGAGGATGATCCTGAGACCTGAAGATAAGGATTTTCCATCTTAATAGTTATCTCATATTTTTCTATTTTTGAAAAAATATCTTTTTTATTCTATTTTCGAATTTTGCTAGGTTTTTTTTTCTATTTAAGGTGTTGTAAGCCCTTTCGAGTTGTAGTTCTTGAATTCAATAAAAAATTTCTTGAGAGTTTTCTCATTTTGTGATTGTTCATCTTTCCTATAATCTTCCGCTACGTCAAGTAGCTTATAGATTGTCTTTA